GTCCAACCCGGCACGGCCAGCGGTCGCTGTCCTGGACGCCCTCTCGCTCGTGGCTCATCCGCCCTCCGCAGGGCAGCCAGGGGCTCTGGGCTCTGGGCCCCTCTGAGCCTCCCCTCCCTGCTCAAAGCCGCCCATGGCCCCGGCGTAGCCACTCTGTGCACGGGTGATCTTCCAAAGACCCTCGGGCCAGGCTGTTGGCCCCCCGGCGCCGTCCCTTCTAGAGTAAGGGCGATAAGAGTCGCAAGGATGGCCGGCCCTTGTGCATAGTGTGGCGCCACCTGCATGCAAAGGCAGGGCTGAGCTCAGGGAGGGCAGCTTGCTCGGTCCCCGTGGACAGGCCCTGAACCCTCTGGCTGCCTGGCCAGGCTGGCTGTCCTGGCCGGGCCTCCCACCTGGACGCACTGGGGCCAGGCCCCAGGAGGCCCTGAGTGGGGCTGCACTGGCCCAGAGCAGACCAGAAGGGGCCTCACGCTGGGGCGGGACTGGGGCTCAGGCTCCTCCTGCACCCTCAGGCTTGGCTGTCCCTGCCGTGCCCACACCCTGCTCCTGGGCACCTCCGACCCTCTCAGGCTGCTGCCCTCGGGGCCCGCCCCACTGTCCCTGGGTGGTCTGGGCCCCTCCTCAACAGCAGACCCCCCGCTGGTCGTCACCTAGGGGGTCCCCATGTACCCCGCACTGCATGCTCATGCTCAACTCTGTGTCCCCCAAACTGAGCCCCACCAGGGCTGTCCACCTCATGCAGAAGGGCCATCCTGGCAAGTCCCGAGCTGCTTGTCCTCCCCTCCAGCGCGCCTGGCCTGTCCTTCCCCCCTGAACCCCTGCGTCTGCACCTCCTCCCTGTCCCACGCCCAGCCCGGCCCAGGCAGTGCCATCTCCCTGTGGTCCCTGCCACCCTGTCGGCTTCCCCTGCCCCGGCCTCCCCAACACGCCAGGGCCCCGACAGGAGGCAGCACAGAGCGCGGCCACTCCGGTGGGGGCCGCTCCCGCAGGCCTCGGGGTCCCTGTCCCTGGGCTCCAACCACACTGCTCCTGTCCCTCCAAGTCTCTGGCTCTCGGGCCTCGGTCCTACTGGGCTGATGAGCCCTGGCTCATCTTTCAGACCCCAGGTCAGGGTCACCTCCCCCAGGTGGCTCATGGCTGACTTTTCCGGGCAGGGGGGCCAGAGTCTTGCCCGGGGGGGTCTACCTTGCCCACTGGCCCGTGACTACAGGAAAGGGGTCACCTCCCACCCCCTGCCCAGCAGGGTGAGACATTCCCGGAAAGGCGCAGGGTAGGGGGCCCAGCCGGGGTGGGCGGCTGGGCCAGGCTGGGCGTGAGGGGCAGGTTCCCTGCCACACCCAGCCCTGGCGCAGCACGCGCCCCTTCCCCCGGCCCCCGGCCCCCACCCACCTGCCATCTGGGGGTGGTCCTTGTGCTCCCAGCTCCCCGCACAGCCACGCCCCCGGCTGCCTCTCCAGGCTTGAGTGACAGTGGCAGCATCGCACCCCTGGACCCCTCCCCGGCGACTCCGCCCAGGGGGTAGGACCCCCGTGTTGCACAACCTGCGGGCTGTCGCTGGTGGCCTGCGTGCCGTGGGGTGCTGTATTGCCCAGCGGCTGCTGCCCCCCCGGGGGCTCCCCGCACAGACCCCTGGCCCCCACCCCCGGGGGCCTGCTGTATGAATGTCGTGGGTGGGGCACCCACTGTCCCACCACCCTCGGAAGGCAAGCCAGGAAGGCTGCTCCGCGACTCCTTTCCCTGCCACGCGCTGCTCCTTGTCACCGCGGCCACAGGAGGGGCAAGTGCACGGGCTCCAGGGAGGCTGGCCCAGGGACTTGGAGGTGGCAGGGAGCCCTGTGGCCCCTGCTCCTGGTGGGGTGACTAGCCCAGCCCCCCAGGCCTGACCAGCTCCGGTCTTGTGGTATCCAGGGGCCACGGTTGGGAGGGGCCCCAATCGCCTGGAGGAGGGGTCCCCCACGACATCCTCCCTTTGGACCCGACCCTCTGAGAAGCCTCGGGGCCCCTCCTCAGGACCTGGGGAGCAAACTCTCTGCCTCAGACCTCTGGCCTGGGACAGCTGGGGGGGCGGCCACACGAGCTGCCTGCAGGGGGCAGAGTCGGGACGGGGACAGAGGCCCGATAACCCTTCTGGAACCGTCCGTGAGGCATGAGGGGTGTGGGCAGCTGGAAGGCCCAGCACGGCGTCGCTGGACCCTCGGTGGGGACCGGGGAGCAGGGCTGGGGGGCCGTGGAGGAAGGAGGGACCTGGCGTGCTGAGTCGGGCAGTGAGCCGTGGATGGGGCCCACTCAGAACGCGGAGGCCACTCAGAACGGGGAGGCCACTGCGGCCGAGCACCTGGGCGGAGACCAGGCCAGTGGTGGAGCCTGGGGCTGTGAGGGGCGGGGGCTGAGCCCCGCTCCCGGGCCCCTTGGGCTGAGCCGTGGGCTTCGCGGAGCCAGAACAGACACAGGAAATAGCCTAATTGCATTTGCGCAGGAACACCAAATCCCTCGCAGCTGCGCTCGCTGGGCCGGGGCCGCGGGCGGGGTCGCCGTCGCCAGAGTCCTGACAGCTCCGCCGAGCGTGCCAAGGGTCTGGGCTGCGGGCCGGGGGCACCTTTCCCAGGCCAGAGGCCCCCACCCCAGCCCGGGAGAGCCGCCCCCTCTCAGTTCCCAGAACGGGGCCCAGCTGTGGAGTGGGGGTGAGGCCACGAAACGGCCGCATTACTCACATCCTGGGGCAGCGGGAGGGGTGGGAAAGGGGTCTGGGGCCCCCTCGTGCGCAGGCCGCTCAAGGGGTGCACCAGGGGACCCCTAGACTGCAGCCTGCACCGTCCCCCAGCCCCATCCCCCAACCACGGGGCTGGTGTTCCCAGAATGCACGCCTGGCCTCCCGCGGGCGGCGGCACTGTGCTGTCCCGAGGTGGTGAAGACAGTAAATGTTTGCAGTGAGGTGGGGGCACGCCCGAGGGATCCCTGGAGCATGGACAGGACCTGCCGTCTGGTGGTCCCCTTATTCCCAAGTCTAAGTCTGCACATGGATGTCCTTGGGTTCACACGTGTGAGCACGCGTGTGCTCGCATGTGCGGAGTATGGGCGTGTGTGCCCATGTGGGCCTGAGTGTGGGGCTCAGAGAATTCGTGTGAGCCGGGTGTGCATCTGTGTGTGCCCGAGCACACAGGAAGCCCGTTGCCCTCGGTGGCTTTGTGTCGGGCGTGACCACTCGAGGGCCTGTGTGGGGCTGCGGGGCCTGGACGCACTGCCTGTGGGGGTTTGCACACACCAGTGTCGTGTGTGCTTACAAAGGCCCCCCCCCCAGGCTGGGTCGAGGGGTCTGGAGAGAGCCCCACAGACAAGCCCTGGGACAAGGCCCGAGCAGGAACTGGGCTCTACCCCAGGCCCCAGGCTGGGTGACACCCGTGCACACAGCCCACCCGGGCACATGCACACAAGCACACCCGTGCACACAGCCCACCCGGGCACGTGCACACACGCACACCCGTGCACACACGCAGATGCAGATGGGGAACAGGGAGCAACGTGGCCAGGCCGCCCTTCCCTGAGGCTGCCCAGGAGTGGGCTGGGGCACCTTCTCTCCACACTGCCCTGCCCTGCGCCACCCTCCATTTGGAGGGGCCCTGCACCCTGCGCTGCCCCCCCAGCCAGAACTGGGCCCGGCAGCCCCCACCCGCTGAAGGCCTGCAGCGGCAGGAAGCGCTTCATCTGCCGGCGTGATGGGAGCCAGGTGTGGGGAATTAAGTGGCTTCCTCGGACCGGGGTTGAAGGCACTTCTGAGAACTAGCGGGCGGATGGGCTGGGGGTGCGGAGGTTGTGTTTGCGTGGTGGGGGTCCCATGTGGCTGTGGTGGGGGAGCAGGCCTTGAACCCGGGCCTGTGGAAGTGCCTGGCTTTCGTCTGAGAGGCTTAGGGGAGACCTGGGGGAGATTAGCTCATGCGCTGGCCGCACTGCCTGGCAGGGGCCCGAGGCCCAGCGGGGAGTGGACTGTGGGGTCAGGCAGCGGACGCCGTCCGGGAAGAACGGGGACCCCGGCCAGGGGACCCCAGCCCCGCACCCAGCTCTGGTGGGCCCCCCCAGGCCTGGGGTAGTCAGCCCTACAGAGACGCACGGAGACCCTGGACGCCCCTTGGGCTGCACATCCCTGGGCCGGCCAACCGCGTCCTCCCTCCTCTGGCTGCACCTAGCCCTGGAGTGAGGGGCTCCGAGAAGCCGTGATATCGGGGTGCTCTGGAGGGCAGAGGCGCTCCCTTGCCTCAGTTCCCCATCTTTGGAACTGGGCAGAGAGACTGGCCAGAGGGCTCTGAGGGAGGCATGGGGAGGTGCCGAGTAAGCTGACCCCGCAGGGTCCCCAGCCGCAGGCTCGGGCCCAGGCCTGAGACCACAGGGCTTCTCCTCCGGGCAGGGCTGGTGGCGGGACGGGGCCGTCGGGCCTGGCTCGCCAGGGCAGGCTCCCTCCCCAGCCTTGGACCCTGTGTGGGGCACCTTCTCCCAACAAACGTGACCTTGGAGTGCAGTGGGGTGGGGTGGCTGCCTAGCTGGGTCACCTACCGGGCCCTGCAGTGCTTCGTGGACTCAGGGGCCATGACTGGTCTCCCTCTGCACCTGGCATCCCCTTCCTGGACCCTCCCGGGGCCCCGCCTGGGGCTGAGGCCACACTGGTCTAGGCCTGGCCCTAATCAGGTACAGGGAGGCGGCTGGTGGAAGCAGGTGGAGGGTCTTACATCCTGTCCTTGGGTTTCTGCCGGCCTGTCAGGAAGCTGGAGGAGCCTCCACCCCTCGTGGTGCCCAGGGACCCCCACCTGGGCCAGAGGACTCCTGGGTGACCGCTCACCGGCCTCAGTGTTAAGGACGGGTGAACGAGGCCTGGAGCTGGGCTGGGGGCCGGCCCTGGCCGACCGGGCTTGCCCACCCAGCGGGGCCCAGCAAGGCCTGCCTGGGTGGGAGGAGCAGAGTGGTACACTGTCTTGGTGGCAGTGTGACTGCCCCTGTGTCCCCCACCCCAGGCTCACCACTCAGTGGAGTGTGGAGGATGCGGAGGAGGCCGCCCGTGAGCGGCGCTGGCGTGAGAGAGACGAGCAGCTGCAGGCCCAGGACGAGGACGGAGGTGGCCAGTCCCCGGAGCGGCCGGAGCAGGAGACGCTGTGAGCCACCCTTGCCGGCGTGTCTGGGCCCCGACCCTCTTCCCGCAGCCCAGGCCGGGGAGGGGGGTGCCAGTGGCCAGGTCCTGAGCCTGGCGTCCCAGTGCAAGATGGGGACGAGGAGGTGTCCATCCCAGGAACAGGGGCAGGGTGGCCAGCCTGCCCCACGCCTGGCCGGCCGAGGGGCTGCGGGGACCAGCGGGGCCACCCTTCCCGGCCAGCCCCCTGGGGATCTGCCTCAGGCCCTTGCTTGGACGACTCTGACCCCAGCTGCGCAGCCCTGGCCCCCGAGCCCCACACCCCAGCTCCCTGCTGCCGGTGACTCACGGAGGCCACGTCCAACTTGGCGGGCCACAGGCCGGCTCGTTTCCTCCCTGGGCCCAGGAGGCCTCCGCGGCTGGGCTGGGCTGTTTTCCCAATAACGCTCCCCTTCCTCCTGGCGCTGTTTTGTTCCATTTTCTCCGAGTCAGCAGCTTTGGGTGGAGTGGGGTGCTGCAGCGGTCACGGCCCCTCGGCCAGGTCCTCGGTCACCCCTGGGCCTGAGAACCCTGTCTAGCCCCCAGCCCCAGCACCCCAATTAGGTCACCCTGCAACGCCTCACCCTGTGAGGACAGGGCTGGGCAGGGGCCTGGGGGCCAGAGTCTGTG